TTTCACAGTTATTGGCATGTGATTGATTAAGCTGTTGGTTACACATCAAACCTCTTTGAATATTTATATGATTCAGATCACCATGCTTCTGAAGCATTGTGAAACACTTGCCTGGTTAGAAAGATCATTCATAATAAGTTAGTTATATTGGAGTAGTTCATTCCAGGATTTGATTAACAAAGAAAAGGGAACTCCACACAAATAAGCAAAGCTGAACATGATTTTCAAAAGTTACTCGACCCTCCAGTCGCCATCCTCGATTTTGTGCTTTAAACATGATATAGTGCAATTCCAGCCAATGGACACATATTTTTTCACTGAGGCGATTTTTTTTTATTTCTTGGTTTACAGATTTCAAACTCATTTCAAAAGTGAGGTAGGCTAATTGAAAAAAAAAAGCCTCTCAGATTTTTTTACTTGAATTTTATCCTAAAACATATGGAGTAAGAAAAGTAAAATAATTCAATTTTTCAAGAATTTTTTTTTATATCCCTGGCACTCATCTTGTGCACAAACGGCAATATAACAATATGGGTGGTCAATAACTCTTTCAACACGAGCCAACCAAAAGATTACTGCAGTGACACCAAATTAAGTTCCCAGAGACTCTTGTGTGATAGATGATGCCAATTTTTATCAAGGAATTAACTAGTTGTAAAACATCTTTGCTTCTTTATGTGTGGCTATACACCACTTGAAGCGTCTTATTAATCCTATTGTTTATAAATATGAAAGTTATGTGTATCACATTATTTAAATAATTAATTTACAACTTAATTAAGTTCATTTTAAGATAAAAGAATGTAAGCTAACACATTTATAACTTCTAGGTTAAGAACCAAGAAAGTGAAAATTTAACAATATTCGGCAAATATAAGATTTCATAAAATCCACTTGCCTATTTCTTTTTTAGTTTCATTGTTTACATAATCAGAAAATTATTTTAAAAAGAATTATAAATAATGTCTGTCATCACCCATTTCCCGATAATAGTGGCTTTACGCTCACTAACATGAGGAAATACCTCCGTTTTCGAAGCTTCGTATGAATAATATGTATGCTGAAGGCATTCGTGTCAGTACCTATAAAAAACCTTATATTGTTCAACCGACATAATGATAATACGGAAGTAACATCCACTGGAGTCAAGTATGACCTTTATAAGATTTTGACGCAAGGTTTTGGGTAAATCATGTTATTCTGAACGTTTTAACAATGTTACTCAGGAGATCGCGATCTTTATTAAAATATGGAACTTCATAGACATATAGTGCTAGGTTACAAGCTGTGACAAAGATTTCTTATGCATATATTTTGGCATTAAACATCATGTACGAGCTGAGAAATAGAGGCAACGAAAGCCGAGACATCATTTGACTTACATTACATGCGATTGCACAAAAAGATGGAAATAATAACTTAGATGTCAGTTTGGCAACTTTTAGATACATTTTTTTTTATTTCATTTATTACTTTGTATAATATATTTAAAGATTTGCTTGAAACATCTTTATTTTGCTGTTTGACATGTTCATGAGGACCCGTTGTTGAAGTGTGTGTCCGAGAATTCAATTTTCAACAAGCGTATCGTTGATGAAGTCATCTATATCCCCCGTCCCAAACCAGGTAACTGACCCAACATTGCAATGGAAATTCTAAAATAAACATTTCTAAAACTCCTTAATATCAAATGGCACCATTTCTGTTCAGTATGTGCTTTATATATAGACATGCAATATTTGGCAAGGAAATATTTCTGTGAATAATACCCTGTGATACAAATTTCTAAAATTCATAAATAGCAAAAGGCAACAATTCAGCATGTGTCTGATAGATGTACAAAATTTCACCCGGAATCAAACCCTACCTTTATTGTTTTCTAAGTCAAACTTGTTGCCATGGAAACGTAAAAAATAAACATTTCTAAAAGTGCTAAATATAAAAAGGCACCAGTTCAGCATGAGTCCTACCCGTGAAGATTCCGGGGAAGAATAGGTCTTCAGCAACCCATGCTTGCCTTAAACGGCGACTAACAGGATCGGGTGGTCAGGCTCGCTGACTTGGTTGATACGAGGGGTGTTCATTAAAGATTTCCCCTGACCAACTTCCGATGGACCTGGTGGAATGAAACTTGGCATAGGTATTAGTCTTTCTCCAGATAGGAACCACCAAGAGTTACACACGTCTCCCTTCGTTTTATGCAACTATGGAGACCTCGCTTGTAAAAGCCCTCATTTTGCGTCTCAAACCAGGACTTGACTTCAGAAATCAGTGTTTCATCATCTGTGAAACGTTTTCCCTTCATAAATGACTTCATGGTTGTAAAGAGGTGGAAGTCAGATGGTGCAAGGTCAGGAGAGTAAGAAGTATGTGGAAGGATTTCATAGCCACAGGACCGCTTCTGTCTGGGCAACATGAGAGTAGTGTACTGGAGCATTGTCTTGCAGGAGACGGACACCCTTGGTCAGCATGCCACGCCTCTTAAACTTGATAGCGTCCCACAATTTCCGCAGCAGTGAAGCATAATAAGCTCCTGTAATTGTTGTACCCTTTGCCAAGAAATCCATCATAACTACTCCGTGCTGGTCCCAAAACACTGTGAGCATGACCTTGCCTGCAGAGGGTTGGACGCCGTGCCTTCTTTGGGGGTGGTGACTCCACATGCTTCCATTGCATCGACTGAACTTTAGTCTTAGGATCATTGTGATGGACCCATGTTTCATCCTGTGTGATTAGCCTGCTTTTGGAAAGGTGCAACATGGTAATCCATCGTGCAGACACCTTATGCATGTTCAAATTGTCATGGATGATTTTTACCACAGACCTTACACTGATCTTGACATCTTGTGCTAACTGGCGAACAGTTATACGACGGTCTGCCAAAATGGCGGTCTCCACTTGATGGATAGTGTCCTCATCAATGGCTGAATGGGGGCGACCAGGAATAACAGTTGTTTCCACAGATGTCTGACCACACTTGAACTGGCGATGCCAGTGTTTAACAACGTCATATGGTGGGGCATCTTCCCCATAAGTTGCTTTCATTTCATCGAAAGTTTCTTTTGGTGCGACCTTTCAAATATAAAAACCTAATCACTGCTCGGTATTCTACTGGCTCCATTGTCACACCCTACTTGATCATAACACCTGTAAAAGTGGTAAGATTAATAGTTCGGTGCTGCAAATTCAGACATAACCCATAGATACATGTATCATTACACATGTGAAATTTCAACCAAATATGATAACCCTAAGTGGTTTAGGGGAAATCTTTAATGAACACCCCTCGTACATGTCATCGATCCCAATTGCGTGGATCGATGCTCATGATATCAATCACTGGATTGTCTGGTCCAGACTCGATTATTTACAGACTGCCGTCATATAGCTGGAATATTGCTGAGTGCGGCGTTAAACAACAAACCAACCATCAGCATGAGTCTGATAGACATGCAAAGTTTCGTAGAAAAATATTTAACGGTTTCTGAGCTATGTTCCGGAAATGATTTCGGGACGCACACACATACCACTCACGCACGCACACACGCATGCACAGACGGATGGACGGAACCCAACTTCGTTGGGGTGGGGGATAATAACACTGCGGGTAATAGTGAATAACCTTTTAATCTTTTGATAAAAAATGTTAAATTGAAATGGAATACTTACTTCAGAAATTGCGAAATGTGATAGATTGAATAAATGAATGATATGATAGGTAGGTTAATAAAATTATATACTATTTTGACGTGACTTGGCCGGTCTTATCTGCCTGCAGTGTCTGGTTACTCGTGGCTTCTTGGCCCATGTACTGGCCAACAGTGTTGATAGAGTTAAACTGGTCACCACCGCACTTTGCATTGACAAGCTTTGATGGATCCTAGCGAGAAATAACAGAGTGACTTCCCTTTGGTTTACATGTTGCAAATGAAATCTTTTTTTATGTTTGAACAGTTTTTGCATTTTTTAAAGTAAAGATTGGCAGTAATAGGAGTGATATGTATTTTTATTTTTTTTCAACATTTGGACTTTGAAAGAGTGGCGCATCCGTAAACCAAGTGATAGTAAAAATGTCACCTTTGTTTGCTACAATTTGGATTTTGTTTTATAATACTAATTAGAAAGCTCTATGCTCACATGACCATTGTTACCTTTGTAATTATTAACATTGTGTCAACTGGGACACTATTATTTGTACCTGTGAAAATAATAAATTATTCATATTGTTGATTTCATGACCTTTTTGTGGTGACAGACATCAATGTTCAGTTTCAGAACAATTGGTGTAATGTTGTAGAGAATATGAAATAATGTGCAACATTGTTTTAGAACATTACATGCAAAGAAAAAGAAGTTTTTTTGTGACATGTGGAACAAACTTGAACCTACTTTCAGCTTTTATCATTTACGCAAAATTTCAGCTTTCTAAGTGTTATGGTTCTTGAGTATAGGCTTTTGTGAAAAATTGATTGATTAAATACTTTGATTATTTAACCACCTTTAAGAAGATAATTAACAATAAAACAAGAAGAAGAAGTCATCAATATCACCAACTGTTTTAAATATGTTTGTTCATTAATTAACACAGCACTCAGCTATATTCCAGCTATATTACAGCGGCCTGAAAGCCTAATCAAATCTTTTACCTGATGTGTACACAAAGTTTCACAAAGATGTATATATTGAAACATTTTGGCCTGCTCAAACAGTTTTTATGTTTTCCCCTGATACAATAAGGTAAGACCAATATCTAGTCTCTGAAATGAAAATGTTTTACAGAATAAATATGTTAAATTATAGACTTGCATGGGCTGTATTGGATATATTCTTTTAAGGGTCTGTGTGACAGACTACCATATGGTGTAGGATGGTGAAACTTTGCCGGGACAAGCCTGACAACCTCTCCTCATTTTGTTGCTCATTACCATTCCTGTTCCAAGTCATATTAATTTCCATGGCTATGCACCATTATTTTGAAACCATGGATCTAAATCCCTTACCTACTGGTCTGGACAATGACATCCACCATCCCCCTGTATTTGCCCGGCTCTATATCAGCATCTTCCTTATCATCCTCATCCACAGTGGGTTTTTTTCTGCGCTTGAATAGAGATCCTTTTTTCTTCTTTCCCGTCTTCTCCTGAACAACCTGTTAAACAGCACAGAGAGTTTGTTTGTTAGTTACATGGTTGGTTGGTTTGTTGTTTTACGCCGCACTCAGCAATATTCCAACTATAGGTCCTGTGATGTGACCTACCACCACCACTCTGACCTCCACAACCGTAATGTCAGTCACAATACTCTATTCCTAGACTTTGGTGTAAATTTCGACTTTCATTGGTGGACTTTCATTAGATAAGCTTACTAGAACAAAATACATTTTACTTGACCCAGGCTTCAGACTCATGGTTATTGTCGAAGACTGTGGACATGTGACCCAACCACATCAGTCTGACCTCCACATAAATACCCCATAAACGATGTCCCTGTCAATCAAGTGTATAGAACTGTCACACCCTTACCTTGTGGGTATCAACTGCTTGAGCTGTGACAACTGGGGCTACCGCTGCACTATTCCACATCCTCTCCTCTTCATCTTGACGCTGAAGAATGTAGTTTACTATTTTCAGTATGGATCATGTTGGGAGACACACATGTATGGATATAACTTTAATTTTTCAAGCTCTATTGCAGACCAAATCAAAAGAACAAATCTCTAATTCTGAGACATTCTGAACAGATTACAGTTCTCAGGAAATGTGACACAGTATTCATGCCTATTAACGTGTGACATTACAGCCACATTATGATAACTTGACAGTTCTGCTTGTTGGCATTATCCCAGCAAACACACAACATTGCTGGAAAGTTGTGTGAATGTAATGTTCGCAAACAACGTCACAAGATTGGGTAAACATATTTTCATGACATGAGCACAAAACATTGATGGCGTATTACATTATGAATTATTTTTCACATATCAAGACACATATTGCTTTATGTTTATACATCGAAAATAGCTAAAAAAAGTAAATACGAATGCATATATTGAATGTTGTGATGCAACATTGCTACAACGTTGCAAGGAGTGACTACTGGTCTGGAAATCACTATTGCGATAACTATTGATATTGAAAGAAACTATTGCGATAACTATTGATATTGCAAGCAGCTATTGCGATAAATATCGATAATTTTCAGTGTATCATTTCAGATGGATTTTAGAGTTGAATTAAACCTTGGAACTGAAGTTTCCTTTGAATGTGATAACCATAACAACAAATAAAAAGTGAAGTTTGAGATATGATTTGTTTTTTCTTTACCCTAATAATTTAAGAAAACGAATCTTCCACATTACCATGCATGTGTAAATTACTACCACGCATGATCAAAAGAAAAACAAATTTGAACAGCATTGCATCTATTTTATTGATATGGTAAATACAATCGAAACTATCGATATTCCTAAGTGAAATCAATACTTTTGATCGAAAACTGATTTAACAATCAATTTATTGACTTAAGTGCTTACCAATAGATATTAGTATTGGATTTGATATTTCGATTTATCTTGACCCCTAGCAAGGATGTACACGCAACTGTTTGAATAAACAGATTTCATATTTAATTATAATGAATATAGAAAGGGTTTTGTCAGCATGTACATATAATGTATGTCTATATATCAATATTTATGTAACAATATTTGGTTCTAATTGTACCATACAAATTACGGTAAACGGCATAAATGTGAAATAACTCATGACAAAAAAAATAGTCACCTTATTGAGTTCTTAATGGTTAGTACATTTAATAGAAACTAATACCCCGTTCACATGCACCTCTATGCAAATGTGTGTATATTTGCATTAATGTGTAAATATACATACATGAGTATACTTGTCATATGAACACGTTTTCTTGTGTGTATATTTACACCAGGAGCACATTTACATCATGTCTGGAGCAGGTGCAAAAGTAAATGTAAATTTAAACTGTATGTATATAGGTTGTAATGTGGTAACGTCAGAGGATGATCTAATTTATATATGTTGATTTGCCAACACCATACAAATTCTGAATTCTGTATTCTATTCAGTATACAGCAATAACAACTTTAATGGGGACATGGAGAGCTGGGTAGACAGTGTTTTCTTTGGGTTTCAAGGAGTCAAAAATTTGTGTACAGATTAAGTCAAACACATGTTGCTTCATGTGAAGATTTCTGTAAGATAACTCTCTTCTCATTCAACTTTGATTGGAAAACAACATTTTCATATTGAAAGACATGAATAGAATGATGAATATGTGTGCCTTACACGATTTACATATCTCATGTACACACCATAGCTAATTTTCATGTGAACGCATGGTAAATTTACATATACACACGTATGTACAAACGTATGTATGTCCAAAATTACTTACGTGAGTAAATGTTGTGCATGTGAACGGGGCATGTTTGGTACACCATATTGATGCAGGGATACTGAACCACAAAAGAAACATCACCATGGATAGATATATTTAAAACCTTATTTGTCCAAACACTGTCAATATACTTTGAGACATATTGAAAAGATGAAACTTGGCAAAACTGATCATCATGGTTAAAATTAACGTGTCAAATGTTCTTAAAGTAAAACACAATACTAGTCTCTGAAAATGGTATCACAAGTCAGTATCTCGTGTGTCCATCATGTGCATTGATGACTGCCGTGCAAAGTCAATACATGGAAAGGATGAGGCGGTTGATGAAGGCCATAGGCACTTGAGCCCACACTCTGAGGAACGCCTGACGCAGGTCAGCTGCAGTTGTCGGCCTTGGTCGGACGTCATTCAGACGTCCCACAGGTGCCTAATGGGATTTAAATCAGGACTAAGGGCAGGCCACAGCATGGTTCTGATGCCTTTCTGCTGGAGGAAGTCTCTTGTTGCAGTGTGGGCATGGGCGTTATCATGCTGAAACTTGTGATTGCAGCGACGTGCCAAATGAGGTATGGCGTGTGGTCACTTAATCAATGTACCGAGCTGCTGTGACACCATTGCCTCTCTCTGGACCGATGTTCTGGAAGACTACAGGGCCGATCCTCTGTGCAAGACCAATTCCACCCCACATCATGATGCTCGTGGTGTCAGAATATGACAGTGGAGGTGTCTGCTCGTCAGTCGTCGACGCACAGTGTCCGCACTAATGTGTAGCTGGTGTGTCCCCATGGTCTGTTGAACAGTTTCCGCAGCAGTAACAAAGCGATCTTTAAGATGCTGTCACACAATCTGACGATCCTGACGTCGGGTGGTGACTCTTGGTCTTCCACTACATGGTCGGTCATCTGTAGTGTTTGTGGTCGGGTACCGTTGCTGCAGCCTGTATATGGTCCTTACGTGGACTTGAAATGCATTGGCTACTTGCTGGACGATTTGTCCAGCTTGCAATCGTCCAAGGGCTTGGTGTCGCTGATTTCTTATCAATCTTGGCATGTGGTAGCAATTCAATAATGAACAACAGTCATGGGAAAGATGACATATCCCCCCAGCAGCTGTCTGTAAAGTAACCACAAGTAAATGTGCAATTCTGTATGTAATGAGTCAAGAGTTGAATGTTCTTAAAGAAGCATACATTGTTTACCCACAAAAGATACACCACGGTCGCATCCATATGAAATGAAAAGTAAAACAAGTGTGTTTCTGTGTTGTTTTTTTATGCAAACAAATGACAAATTACAAGAAAAAATAACTAAACAAGCGTATAGTCAACGAAGTCATCTATATCCCCCGCCCATTTTAACACGTTATGGTCCCAAACCAGGAAACTGACCCAACATTTCTCTTAGCCCTGTCAAAATAGCTGCAATGGAAATTCTAAAATAAACATTTCTAAAACTCCTTAATATCAAATGGCACCAGTTCAGTATGTGCTTTATATATAGACATGCAATGTTTGGCAAGGAAATATTTAGCAGTTTATTTGTTATACTGCATAAGTGAACCCACCCTATATTAAAACTTAAATCCAACTTGTTGCCATGGAAACGTAAAAAATAAAAATTTATAAAATTCCTAAATAGCAAAAGGCACCAGTTCAGCATGAGTCTGATAGACATGCAAAGTTTTGTTAGAAAGTTTTGAATGGGTTTTGAGAACTCTACACTATAGAACCTAAGTCCAACTTGTTGCCATGTAAACGTAAAAAATAAAACCTTCTAAAATTCCTAAATAGCAAAAGGCACCAGTTCAGTATGTAGTTTAAACCTATGAAAAGTAACATGGAGAAATATTCAACAGTTTTTTAGTTCTGCTTCGAAAACTCACATAGTGAGCCTATGTCCAGCATGCTTTCATGAAAATTGGAAAATAAAAAAATTGGACAAATTCCAAAATAGCAAAAGGCACAACTTCACTACTTAAGTGATATAAATGCAAAGTTTGATGAAGAAATATTGAACAGTTTTCGAGTTCTGCTCCAGAAACGATTGAGACAGACGGAAGGACAGACGGACGGACGAACATGCCCATAGCTATATCCCCCCGCATTATATGCCAGGGGGATAATGAATGTTATCTGATCTGGGTGGATTTTTATAGGGCAAGAAATTAGGGAACGCATGTACATTTCAATTTGCATGGAACTCGCATGCATCAGGTTACCATGGCCATTGCCGTGATGCGTTTGGGGCGATCCGTTTTATTGTCATCTGCTTTGTTTTTTTATCAAATTTCATTTTTCCGGACAAAGTACCGTATATGACCGCGTATAAGCCGAATTTTGAGGACCAGAAAAAAGATTCTGTAGAAAGGGGTCGGCTTATCCACGGGATACACTTTCATGATAGTATTTTTCAGATCGTGATCTGTCAGAAACATCGCCTGAATGACGGTCCGATAGATTACAACTTCCCGAAAGTTTGGAAGTTGCCACGACTAGAATCATTATTGTTATAAATTATCAATAAAGTTATTATTATACACCAATGTTGTCATTATTACGGTAATGATAAATTTTAGAAACTTTGACAAAAATGACCCAGATATTTAAATGACAACTTTTCATGCAATGTTACTTGGGGTGATGTTTCTTTTGAGGTTCAGTATAGATTTGTATTATGAAGTTGCATTATCGAATTAACTAAACAGGGATAGAAATTAGTACCAGCCCGCTTATATTATATGCCAAGACCAGTTAAAGGTATCCTAAGGGTTAGTAGAACTTCAAACATTTTGGGGGGAATTACTATATGTTATCACTATTCGGGCTCCTTACTTTCATGGTTAATTTCTATCCCTGCTAAAGCCAAACGTACTGCCATGCGCGTATAAATTTTTAAATTTTTTTTGTTTAACTGTATGGTTTCATAACACTGTGAATTTATAAAGTGAACTGTTTACATCTGTTGTGTAAAATGAAACATTTGTGTTTGTTTAATGTATGTTACCAGCGAGTAAAAACTGTTTCATTAGAAAGTTTGCTGTTTATAATTCCATGTACACAGGATACACATAGGAACACGGGACGGGAAAGAAATATAACAGAAATCACCGGAAAAATAAATTTTTTATGATAGTACATATCTACTTGCTACAATTATCTGAAGAACAGTAAAATAGCATGGTGTTTTATTACAATGAATCAGCCTGGTACCTCATATTTTTAATGCTCTATTGCGTGCGATTGTGACATACGTACACAATTATATCTTGGTGGAAACAAAATAAACTTAAAAACAACTTTATAGTAAATATGATCACAATGCCTGCAATAAATGCATGGACCCTGACCATAATTTACTTAAACAGTACTAACATTATTAATCATGCAGGTTGCAATTTTCATTTATTGCTTTTCTTTTGACTTTTCACTGACCATTAAAACTATAAAATATATTTATCAATTTGAGGAAGTAAAATATATTTTTGTTAACTGTGGCATACTTGCATACATGCAGTTTTACTCAATGTCACCAAAATCAGATCTTAGTTCTGAATGGCTAATCATGCTAATAGATGGCCTTGATTGTATGGATTCAGTCCCAAAGACTGTCCTTTAGAATACCGATTCGAGGTTGCATGACTGGAAGACAAATTCCGACTGTCACTTTCCTGATCTGGTAAGCGATGCTCTGATTGGTCGGATGAAAGGTCGTTCTGCAGGACCAGTCATGGGATATCGTCAGATCTTTGTTTGGCGGTAGCGATACCTAAGATCTGCTTTTAATGAGATTGGGTTTTACTACAAGTGCAAGGAACGGAACTCTGCTTATCTGCCCTTGCAATACGATTCTTCTGCCGCTAGGTGCAGCTATCCACATGCTTCCTGCGACAAGTTTCAGCACCAGAATTTACATTTTGATGTTTTCCAGTATAGATATCAGCATTGTTATAGTTTTGCACATTAGATATTGGTAAAGAAGGGATAACTAACCAGATCATGATCATGATGTCATCAGACAAACATGTGTAACCAATCTCTTCTCTATCAATGAAGTTTTGCACCACAATGTAACAAAGGAATGTTTTTATACAGTCGTCCACCTGGCTTATAAAGGTCCTTCATGATGCTACTGTTTCACGTGGTAATGAATGCCTCCCATAATTTTCATTATTTCCCCTACAAATGCAATAGTAAATTTGAGGAAATAAGTTTATTTTTAGTTTCGTAAATTTTCTTTGGTTTTCAACAAATAAAGTTATATGTGACTGTGCTTGTGGTAACACAACTTTATTCAATGTTCGTATTCATGATAGAGCACAATTACAATTCGCACAAATAATTGTTTATTTATGTTCACAGAATCCTGTTGGGGGAAAAGTATCCAATGATTGCTGTAAGTGAAGTCGAAAACATGCTCAAACCAAATAAGGCTGGGCAAGATTTAAGGTAATTTATTCATACACCACTTTTGTAACATTGTGAGAAGGATGAAAATTATACTTTTTTAAAATTTGTCCTGATGGTTGCAGTGTAATGGCTTAAAATCAGTTTTAAAATTCAGAAAGCATAACAAAAAAAGGATTAGTCATTTTATGTAGAGGAGATTAGTTAACATCCTTTTTTATATAGTTCATAACAACAGTGTTGTCTATGTTATTTTTACAGGGATCCCTGAGGAACTCTGTCCATAACACAAGAGCAGTTGATCTTCCATACGACTCCGACAGTGCAAAATTGTAAACCGGTACAACAGATTTTGATTTTGTTTAATGAATGAATTTTGAATATTAATCCTTGTTGTTACTCGTTATATTTTGATACGACAAAGGATGAAATATTTCTTTTAGATGTTCCTTTCTCGTTTTATTCAAAGAGAAAAAATGTCCAGAAACAATTGCTGGCCATTTCTCCTTGTAGATCATACCTGATGTAATAACAATCTCATTAAAATCAGACCTTAGTTCTCGCTTAGCGGTAGCGAGAACTAAGGTCTGATTTTAATGAGATTGGATGTAATAACATCTTGATCTGCTGCAAGTTGGAAAAAAACATTTTTAGTTTAGAGACTACAGTTTGGTATGATGACTATCACAGAACTATGTGAACAGCATCATGTATTACACAGCATCCTACCTCCTGTATCGTGAGTAAACTCATGTGATCAGCATGGTAAACTGTTCATTGCATGCCCTCATAGTATTGCAATGGCCCGCCCTCCTGAACATGCTTCAGATCTCATATGTGGGATTTTGTGTCATTTCGTATCCTGGTAGATTCGTATCTCGTGCACTTTCGTCACCTCTAGTTCTTTTTGCATCGCATCAGTTTTTGGTAACCTGGGATCGGAATCCTATATGTTTCATAAGAAATAACACAGACTTATCTAATAGTTCCACATAGTTGTTTACTTCAGAGCATTGATACAACCGTTCACCATAACAAGCCGCAGACAAAGTTGCCTGACATGCATTGCTGAGGTCTTATTACGTGAGTTTGCAAGGGACCATTAATTTACAATGATGAATTACATGCGAAGATACAACAAGTTTCATATCCCTTCACCAATTTCGTACCCCGTTATATGTTTCATACATTGTAACTTGAGTTATTGTTATACAAACACCAATCTGTTTGTCACTACGGCCATTTCTCATAATTATTGTGACACGAACAATTTAGTTGCACATGATGACAGTTGACAAAGTTGCAGTATTTTGCTTCGGTAATTATTTTTATTTCAATATGTCATCACTAGGGCTGTTAGGATTCATTTGCCTATTCGGTGAATCGAACCGTATCCATTCATGAATTGAATTCGTTATTCGTGGCCACTAGAATCGAATATTTATGAATATGCAAGCATGTGCATTTACATAAAAAATACCCATAAGAACATATTTTATGCATGGATTTCTTCAAAAGACAACACTCTTATACTATTTAATTTGACAGTATTGTGGTCACTGGTCATTGTCGCATTTGAGCAGATACTTACCGTATTCGACGTAATAAGCCCCCACGGCGACATTTGCTAATATATTGGCTAGTGAACAATCCCAATTAGCACCCCTTCCGATTGATCAATGTACACAAGACTTATTTATTCTCGTATAATACACACTCGTGTGTTATATGCACCCTTAATTATGGGCAATTAAATTCTGGAAAAATATATCTGTCGTACATAAACACTTCAGGCTGTCAGCATAAACCACGAAATTTTTCTTTCAACTCTGTTTTTTTCACCAAAATAATAATCTAATAAGAGCCCCCTATTTCTAATTTTGAGAGCGCCCTGGGCGCTTATTACATCGAATACAGTAATTGTACCTGGATAAGTGCAGTATATAAATGAATAATATATTAGTTATATATTAATAATTAACAAACCATGTCAAATAATGTATGTTGTTGTTGCCTCACTGAATATGACAAATAATACATCAACTGCTGACTTGTTATTGTATTCATGAATTAATATTCGTATTCTCTACCCTATATTCGTGATACGAATCGTATTCGCCTCATAGTGTATTCGTTGCAGCCCTAGTCATCACGCACACAACTTTAACAGTTACTTCAAACTTTTCCATATACTTTACACTTAAATATATTTAATAAAGTATTAAGTAAAAGTAATAATACATTATGTCATTGAAGTAACTGACTTAACAGGTCGTTGTTGTTGATCGTTGACATTGTTTCGCTTTGAGTAGAGTAACTGATGAAGGGTTACGAAACTGAGAGATAAGAAAAGAACTAGAGGCGATGAAATTGGTAAGATACGAATCTACTGAGATACAAAATGACCTGTTACCATATGAGCAATGGCTCCAAGCCTTGATCACCGACACCCTAATTATGGACTTAATTAATGTTTTTACTTCGGCCTAATAGTTGCGTTGGAAGTATTCCTATTTATGGGTTAGGTCGAGTAAAGACAAATTACTAACCTTCTTTTTCTGCCATTCTCGCAGGCAAGGTCTTACTAGGGCCGCTGCGACTATAGCCCCAATGAAGAGGCCAATAAAGAAAGCACCGGCTATCCATCCACCGTCACTGACAAACGTCGTCTGCTCGACTCCGATTGTGATGGGCACACACACATCTTCAAGAGTATGACTGCACGATGACATCGCTGACACACATAGGCACTAATTGGTAGATGTGCGATAATCCGTCAACGGATAGTGAAAATAATTTTCTGTACAGTTCAGTGTAGTTTTATCCAAGAACACGGAAAATGCACAGCATCTCGTCTCCTACAATGAGTCCAGCACTTGGCTACTCGATCTACTCCGAGTGCAATCAACTATCACCATACCTGCGATTTGTAGTACTTTTCTTTCTATGAAATGATAATGTAGTTATCACTAACGTATCTGAGTAGCAGATTATAGGGAAAAAACAAAAGAACTGTAATCCATAGTTGTCATATCCTGATTTGAAACGAGCACATGTACACCACCATCTCTGTTGTTGTGGTAAACAGCTCGTGGTTGCTCCGTGGCGACTGTTTCAAGTTCCCCGCGATTGGCCATACGTTTATGGAGGAGTGGAGTGACTTGAAACTGCAAGGAATTGTCGAACAGGGAAAATGCAGGTAAAATTTGCAGGTGAGTGGATGGTTTTCTATCTGTCGGTTATGGAAACTTAATTCTAATATGAAACAAGATTTGTACGTGGTATATTAATGCAGGTGTAAAGTTAACACAGAGTTTACCTGATGTGTTTTTAAGATCACGATCGATGGGTCCACGATATTTCGTACAAATCTACCTGTGTGCCTGTCTACTCTTACAAAAATAAAATAAAAATGTTTGTTTTGGACCTTATGGGGAAACTCGTGAATTCTTACAATGTTGATATAAATACGGCAATGCGACTTTAATTAATGTAAACATGATAGAGACAGAGATGGATGCATATATAATAATGTATATTCAACACGTTCAATAGTTTGAAATTGTAAACAATATTCTACCATGACATATAGAACCCTGCATTCTGATTGGTCTGCCACAGATATCAGTCAGGAGATAACATACTATGTTTCCAATGTAGACGTTTAGAAATAGAATCGACACCTGTTAAAAAAATCATAATAGAAATCAGATCTGATGAGTCAATCAAAGGTTTCAAATCACAATAAACACCTCTGTTTGAAACGCTGATTTGATGGCAGCATCGTCACAGAAGCGAATTTTATCGGGAAACAACATTCCAACTTTCAGTCGTCTATCCGGCGCCAATTTAATTAGCCCACATAATCACCAGAAGCCAATTAGAGCCATCGACTAACAAACTGGGCTTCTGACCTGCGAGGGGCCAACTGGAAAATCTCGTTGACAGCAAGAGGTAATTGAATCCTCACATTTGAGTGGACATGATATATACCTAAAAACATTTTACCAAGCAAATTCATCTGCATGTATAAATGTGTACACGTGTACCATTATGTAGTTTGGCATACAGAAAATATGTGTACATATTATTTTTGTAATAATACAATTTAGTTCATATACTCAACAGCATTGACCCTTATTTTTCAGAATAATTGCATATGACAACAATTACAACACCCTAGTTGTCATCCATGTTTCATGGTATAACCCGCCACCTGTGTATTTGTTGTCATTCACTTAATGCTCAGTTAATGACTTTATTTCAGGTATAATTAGTGGTAGAACTACTCTATGGGCGGCCATTTGGTAAAAAAATATAAAGTTGAAATAAAGGACAAAAGTATGAAATAATAGTCAAATGTTACGAAGAAAGTATTAAATGTTACTGATTAAGGTAAAAATACAAAGTTGAAATAAAGGTCAAAAGTACGCAATATAAATGTGGATCTGAAACATAACTTAATTGGCATCATATAACACCCTTGTGTTGCATCAAGAAAAAAAGGCCCTTTCCCGGGGATGATGCATAAACGCAACATGTATATTCACAATGTGTACATAATACATATGTACGTGTCGTCTGATGGTGGGTGCACGAGGAATGACGGATTATATTGTGCACCTCGGCATGCAGTTATATACACAGCGGAACAAGCCAATTAAACTCGGAATGGTTTACAAATCGCTGCGCCATCTGGTGTTCTTTATTGTCAAAGTCCTTTAGCAGTTTAGTGTCCTTTCGTGCGCACTGACGTTCTTTAGTACACATTGTTCTTTCTTTTCATTTGACGTCTTTTCGTAACATTTGACTATTTAATATGACGGTTTCCGGACCCCTGGACTATTATTGCGTACTTTTGTCCTTTATTTCAACTTTGTATTTTTGTACCGAATAGCCGCCCATACTACTCCATTACCTGACAAGGGCTACAAAATATGTCAATAATGTTCACCGCTGCCTATGAGGGTGCCAGGGTAATAAAGCACTCAGTGGTTCGCATTGTGTCAGGGGTGATTATTTTATCTACGATTTGGGTATAAATCCAGGTCTGATGTGGTGAATGTACTACATGTTATGTAATATGCACATGGAAGCACAGTGAGACAGGACTGATGTGGTGAATGAACTACATGTTATGTAATATGCACATGGAAGCACAGTGAGACAGGACTGATGTGGTGAATGAACTACATGTTATGTAATATGCACATGGAAGCACAGTGAGACAGGACTGATCAGTAGAGTTGCAAAAATCATTGATTGAAGGATTATCTGATAATACATGGAATGATTAGTTTGCTGTTAAAAAGTAAGTGTTCATCTATGTAGGTTTACTAAAGCAGACAGAATACTCCCATATCTGGGAGTGACGTGCCGATATAAAAACAACGTACTTTGTTCCAAGGATTAGCTGAAAATATATTGATTGATTGCTTATTGTTTTCTAACTCTCTGGATTTGCTAAGAACTGAGGACATCATGAACATAGTTGTCACGTGAGCCCTCTCAGCTGACCAATGAGACTTGACACCTTTGTGAAACACCTGAAACAAACTTACATGATCAGTTGAGAAATGAACACCGGTCATTATATCCTGAAATGCTATATATATTTTAAAATATTAGATTGTTACAAAGACACGTGACATCGGACAGGTTTTTTTGTACAGCTTCAGATATATTTTTTATTTTCAAATCATTTTTATTCCAGTTTCAGTGGTTACATACACAGTGATATATACATATATAGCAATTAACATTTTGACGCCGTGGAGGATAGGCCTTGATCATGAAGGATCGAGCAAGATGTTCTGGCATGAAAGTAGTTAACACCATATTTATGAGCAATCGTAGAAAGATAAGCTAATAATAAAGGAATAAACAGTACCGAATTATAGTACTGTAATCCTTATCTTGGAAAAACATTACAGTCTTTCTTTGGCAATAGAGTCAAAGTGATTGTAAACAATCAATGATCACACACAGTCAGCAATCTATGTAAGATTCAAGGCATCATGTAAACCTCAATACAATATCCACTTTTTGTTATAAGTGCTAAGCTTATTATTAGTTTTTGCTGACAGATATTCCAAATAGATAGCATCTTTTAATACTTGTTTAAAAACGTCCAATGAGGGTTTCCTTTTCGTTAAACTAGAAATAAAAATGTGTCTCTTAGCTAACATAATAATATGATTATTTGCAGGTTTTGCACTTATTTCACCAAAACATAAATTAAATCTTGTAAAAAGCATATGATTATTTCCCACAGAATTCAGGAAAGCCTCCAAGTTTTGCCAGAATTCGAACACATATTCACAGTCATAAAATACATGCATCAAGTTTTCTTTCTCTATCTTACAAAATTCACATAAATCATCATCGACATGTTTCATTTTATAAAGTTCTTTTTTTGTATATATCATTCTATGCAGAAATCTAAATTGAAAATCTATCGATTTTACGTCTCTAATGTCTTTTCTAAAAGAGACAAAAATATTAGCCCAATCTAAACATTCACCAAATTTAATTTTCCATTTCTTACATATTTTAGGTTGTGAGTCAGAAAAAATAAGTTTATCATAAAAGGGTCTTGAACCTTTTTTACAAATCAATAAGTCCTGATAACAAGGAAGAATATACACGTCAAAGTATAAATCTACATCAAAATGTTTTTTAATTGCTGTTTTCCATGCTTGGGGAATAATTGAAATAAGCTGAACATAATGCAAAAAGGTCCCTTTAATATTGTATCTTTCTTTTAGAATTTCAAATGGAAAAAATCTATTTCCCTGACAAATATGTTTTAGGGACCAAATACCCTTAATATACCAATCTTTTATGAAAAACTTTGGGGAATTTAAGTAGTGGTTTAACCATAATGGTTGATTCATAATGTTTCCAATAAGAGAAAGGTCTAATTCATATTTTCCAAAATATTCACACCAAGCTTTAATAACATCGTTCCAATAAGGGTTAGAAACTTTTGTGTAAATAAAAGCATTTGAACCTAATCTTAGTAAATCTTTTACTGGAATGTCATATTGCTGACATTTCTGATGTTTAATACATTTACTTAAAAAGGAGATTTTTAGAAATTTCACAAAAGTTTTAATATCAGGCATTCTTAGTCCCCCATTTTTATATTCTCTCTTAATATTTTCTCTTTTTATTTTCTCTGTTTTTCCGTTCCAAAGAAAATCAAAAAATATTTGATCTAATTTCTTAATAAAAGCATCGGGCGGATTTGGGAATGCCGTGAATATGTGAACTAGCTGTGATAAAGCAAGTGTTTTGATAACTGTAATTTTCCCAATTAATGTTAAATGCCTTTTTCTCCAGTTTGCTAAAAGTTTAGTGATATTTTCTAATCTTTTACAGGTATTGATTACCCATAAATCCTTTAATTCCGGGTTAAGAATAATACCTAGAACTTCAAAGTCTCCAGTGTGCCACTCCAAGTTGAGCTGATCACATATTTTTAATCTACTCCCAGTGAGGGCGCCTATCCGTAAAGCCTTTGTTTTATCCATATTAATTTTCAACCCTGACATTTGGTAAAAATCGTTAAGTGTTTTAATTACAGCATTAAGACATTCCGGAGTACCCTCTAAGAATAATTCAGTGTTATCTGCATATTGACCAAGTTTATGTTCTTTTCCATGCATCTCTATACCTCTAATGTTTGTATTCTCTCTAATAAGTATGCTTAGGATTTCAGCTACTAGAATAAAAAGATATGGGGAAATGGGATCACCTTGTCTACATCCTCTTTCATTTTCAAAGAAAGAAGAAAGATGGCCATTTTGTATGACACAGGATGAACTATTGTTTATAAGCATATTTACCCAATCAACAATATAGGATCCAAAACCAAATTTTTTAAGTACGTCTATTATGAATGATTTGGAAATTGTATCAAAGGCTTTCTCAAAATCTATAAGAAGAAGCCCTGTTTTATTTTGTTCTTTTAGATGAAATATGATATCATATAATAATCTTATATTTTCTGCTATGCATCTTCCTGGTATAAAGCCAGTTTGATTTTCATCAATTAGGGAAGGGAGAGTTTTCTTTATTCTATTTGCAATACATGCACTCTTTATTTTGTATAATACATTAAGGAGAGTTATAGGTCGCCAGTTTTTAAGTAAAGTTCTATCCTTTTTACCTTTGGGAATACAGGTGATGATACCTCTGTTTACTGTTATTGTTAATTTCCTATTACTAAAAGATTCATTAATGTTTCTGAAGATCCAAGGGCCTAATTCCTTACCCAAAAATTAAAAAAATTCTATGCTAAAACCATCAAGACCTGGACTCTTGTTATTTTTCATATCCATGACAACTCTATTAATTTCTTCTTGAGTGATTTCTTGTTCTATACTATCTCTTAAATTCAAATCAAGTTTAGGAGTTTTGATATCTTTTAAAAAACTATCAAGGTTATCGTTTTCAAAATTTGGATTAGTATATAATTTTGATAGAAATGTTTTTGTTGCTCTAGTATCTGGTTTCCATCTGTAATCGTATTACCTGAATCATCTACTAGTTTATGTATCAGCTTATTTGTAAAATTTCTTTTCTCTAAATGGCAAAAATAACTGGTTGGTTTCTCTCCTTCATCATACCATCTTAGTCTGCTTCTAATTTCTTGAGCTCTTACTTCTTCCTCTTTTAATTTTTATATTTCTAATTTAAGCTTGGAAAGTTGGGCGAATTTATTTTCATTTACATGTTGAAAATCATTTCTTATTTGATCTTCTACCTGGTTTATATCTTTTTCAAGTCATTGTATTTTATTCTTTTTTTTTCTCTTCAAATAAGTTGATATTGAAATTGAATTCCCTCTAACTTTCATCAAAAAGGTTTGGAATACAATTGTTGCTGGGTATTTTAATTTTAAAAGCTCCACTGGAACATTATCCTGATCATTACAGGCATATTCAAGT